AGTATCTCTGCTTATCCTCAGTGTCTGATCGTCCTCACCTTGTGAGACACTGGTTTGCACTACTTGAGGTCTGGGCCACGTGTACCTCCTACCTCCCTTAGCACCGAGGAGTGTATTCTGCGCTAGATCCAGGTGGGAGCATCTCTGGAAGCCCAGGACAGGCAGTGCAGGGATCCAGGGAGCTGTGAAATCCAGCTCCCAGTGCTCCCAACACTGCCTGCAGGGTGAAACATCCACCCAGAGCTCCCACAGGTGCTGAACATCAGTGTTTGCCTGTGCCCACTCTTCACAAGGGTCAGCCCATTACCTCCATACTGTACTCCAGAATTGCTAGTCATCTTCTGCCACTTTTAAACCTCTCTGAGGATACATCTGGTACTGTACAAATCTCACCTCTGCTTTCTGATCACCATGCTCAGCATTGCTGCCTTCCCCCTCCCCAAGATGCAGCAACCTCAAAGTTTGCCATGGGAGGACAAGCTCTGGCCATCAACTAGACCACCATCTTTCCCCATTTTACAGGAAGAATTTGCATCTGCTGCCCCTTGTCTGATCTTCCAGCACAGCCCTTTGGAGTCCACCCTTCTTTGAGGCAGGGGACAGACCTTGTCACCAGGCAGAAAGGACCACGTTAGGATGTTTCTCTCCCTTTATCTCCCTATGGTTCCCTACAGCAGAATTTACCCAGGTCTCATCTCTTTTCCAGCTGGACTCTGACATTATTGAAGATTGTGGCCATTGCTCTGGATTTCAGGATGCCTGGAAGTTCAGTGTGCGCAGATTGGGCAGTTCATATCTGAAGCTCTGACCAAACCCATGGCATGTGAACAGATCCACTGCAGAGCACATTGGCTCCAGTTTGCATCTGAAGACTTCCAGGCAGAAAACCCAGAGCCCTTGGGATTCACGGTCTCAGCTACCAGGCACAGCAGGACAGCAGGGCAAAGGACCACCACCACCGTGCCCCCAACATGAGATGATGAGAGTGGGGTGCAGGAGGCACGGTGTAAGGGCTTTGTACGGGTACACAAGGTTGAACCAGCCACGCAAAGGTTGTGTGCTGTGGTAGCTACTTGAATGTCCTGGCTGTACTCACATGTCCTGGCTGAGGTTGTGATCCCCGGTCCCTCCACTGAGCCAAAGAGCACATAGAGGGAAATTATGTACTCGGTGTCATGGGCCAGGTTGCGGAGCCGGTAGGCTGTGATTGACTTGTTGAGGGCCAGCTGGCGAGGACGGTCTTTGCCAAAGAACTCTTTGGGAGAGAGAAAATAAAATAGAAGAGGATAAAGACTGAAACGTCTGGAGAGCAGCTCTGTTACATACTGGAAAAGACGCCATGTTTTCTCCAGCAGTCCATCTCTGACCCAGCTGAACCTCTGTTGTAGGACACCTGTACATGCGCTGGGGCAAGAGAGAGTTTTCCTATGATTATTTCTTTGGGAATTCAAATGACTAAAGGATCCAAACCAGCTCAGAGGAACTGAAGGAATGAAACCACCTCTCACATCCAGGGCCCACAGTAATGTGGTGCAGTCTGGGGTGGTTCCACCGTGTGCTCTGCCCCCTCCCCAGCATCTCCAGGGAGCTGCAAAGCCCCTGCACTGGATGACCAGGCAAGGTGGTGTAGGACTCTTGCACCTACTGGGATATGTGTTGGGATGGGGTCGGGCTGAATGTAGTTGCTGCAAGGACCCTGCCTGCTGGCATTGAGGGTCAGGTCCAGGAATAATTTCTGGTTTCAGTTCATGCCCTGAAGTTGTGGGAGAGGCTGCTCAGACCAGTTAATGAGCTGGACCTGCCCCTACGCCCAGCATCCCTGAGGTTCCCAGTGCCTTATCTCCCATACTACAGAAGGAGGTGGAGGTGATGCAGGCTGGAGGAGAGCAGGATCTTACCTGGTGTAGGACCCCAAGCCACTCGGTACCCGGTGGCCCCAGCAACCGAGTCCCAGGAGACCAGAGCGCTGTTGATGGATATCTCACTCACTTTCAGCATCTGGATGGTGCTCGATGCCACTGCAACAGATCAAAGTTGGCCAATTGCATCAAGGTCCTGACAGCTTCTAAGTGGCCCCTGAAAGCTGCAATGAACCAGACTGCTTTCTGCACTAGATGACAGATAGAGTGGTGACTACAAATGACACCAGCTCTGTGCTGCCAGCACAGCGTGACCCCCATCTGTGTCTGCTTGGGCTGGCTCCCACCCCTGCTGCAGGGCACTCACCTGTCGTTGCTTTTCCGCTCACCACTGGCCCCTCAACATCCCCAAAGATGGGGTTGATGGTGATGGTGTACTCTGTGCCAGGCTGCAGCCCCTGGATCATGTAGTAGCTGTAGGTGTTGCTGAGGTTCACATCTTGGATGCTGCCCTCTGCAAAGAGAAATGATGTCTGGGCTCCCTTCATCAGACCAAGGAGGACCACCCTCCTTGGGTCTCCTTGTCTGGGAGGGCAGCGGGCAATCATGCAAACAACCACTTGAGAACTACACAGTTGTGTGAGATTGAATGGCATTTCATCCTCTTGGCTTGCATATGTGCTGCCAAGGTCCTCAAGCCAAAGATGGTAGGGATAGGGCTTAGTGCAATAAGCACAAATCGGTTGCGGAGCTAACATATATGCAGGTAGAAATAACCCACAGCCGCTTGGGCAGACCTCAGCGATCACCAACAGATTGAGGCAGCTCAGGGCTTTGCAGGCCAAAGAAAATAAATCAGGTAGCACCACACAAATGGACACGTATGGGTCTGTGAGGGTCCACACTCTGCCCAGCCCTGTGTGACTCGGTGCTGGAGTTATCTCGCCTTCCCTGCAGGACACCAGAGCCAACTAATGCTACAAAAGACATTTTCTCATTTCTCTATCCTTGTTGTGGACTAGAAACCGCTCAGCTAAACATCTCGGCATCGCTCTACAGGGTGGCATGGCAGGAGAAGAGTTAAAACCTAATCCCTGGGGATCGCACCCCGTTTTCAGAGGCGAAGAGGGGTGCAGGCAGCAGCAGGTTGGGGTTTGGAGGGGAGAAGGCTGCCATTTGCAGTTTGGTCACTGGAGGGTGCCATATCCCCATCTTCTGCTCTACCAGCACCCTGAGCCCCATCCCCCTTCTCCCACCCCACGCCATGGACCTTCTCTCCACATCAGCCGCTCGTTTATATTTATCTATTCTCTGTCTTAGAAGGCAGAGAAGAAAAATCAAACCCCTCCAGTGCCTGGGATGGTTGCACGGGGATGGGCAGAAGGTGTCTCGATCCCAACGCCGCTGCAACCGTAATGCATGGCCCTGGGACGGGATGGAGTGTGGGAGGAGGACCCCACAGGGCCCAGAGGTGAGGGTGGGCTGCCTCTTGGGATTTTTGCCACCCTTGGATTTGGGGTGAACCAGTATCAGGTGAAAGAGCTGCTTGGAAAGAGCGAACTTGGAGCAGAGGTGATGTGCCCTTGCTGCTTCATCTGAGGATGTCCCGCACCGTCCCCTCGAGAAGGGGTGTCCCCACTCAAAAGATGTGGCAGGCTGAGGATGTGCATGCTTCATTTCTAGCTGGGGTATCGAGCAAGGACTGGGTAAACAGCTGAGTTTTGGGGTGTGCCCTGATTTTTTTCCAGAGAACCATTCGTTACAAAGCAGTAAAAACAGTTTTATATCTTCCCTGTAAAGAATTTTCCATTCTGATGACCTTCAGAGCTGTTCTCCAACTAATTCCCCTCCCCTGGTGGGAGATGTCTCCTTATTTCATAACCAGGGAAGCTGAGCCAGAGGAGAGTGTGCTATTTATTCAGAGCCTGTGATGGAGCCCAGGTGTCCTGACATCCCATCTCGTCTTTGAACCACAGAGACATTCATCTCCCAAGGCCAAAATATGCCATCAAACCTGAATTTCTAACTTCTGCTCCCCCACATCAGCAATGAAAATATGTTTGGGTTCAGGGCAGGGGAGAGGCTCCAGCTGCAAATGCAGATCTGTCTTCAAACACCAAAGTTTGTCTGAGAATGAGGATGCATTATGGGATGCTGGGGGAAGAAGCCAGGTCTCAGCGCTGCAGAGAGAAAAGCAACAAGCACAAGCGCTTCCAGTCTGTAACGTGGTACCTGTCACCCCAAAAAGGGGTAACCCCAGATGCTCGGGGGCTGTGGGATGTACAGCTCTGCATGGAGTACTTAACCAGCTTCTCTCCAGCTATTAATCCTTTCCAGAGCTACTCAGGTCCAGTAAATCTGGCACTAATACCATGTTGAACAAGGCTGGATACCCGTTAGCCTGCTTTAGGCAGAGCCAGAGCAGGTATTTTTGTATCCATGGTGGAGTTTACCCTCAACACCCACAGTATGGCTCTCTGTTGCAAGCAGCTGATTTAGCCCCATGTGCAGAAAACTCCACCATTCACAGACCCAAAAAACCTGTTTTTCTCCAGCTTCTTGCTGCATGTCTGGACACAGAAGGTGTCAGTGCACCCAATGCCTTGGGAATCTCACAGCTCCTGTCTCTCCGTGTCCCTGCTCACTGATGGATGCACCCCATTCCTGAGTCTCTACCTGCTGATGTCCAGGTGAGTCTGTACCCCGTTGCTCCCCGGACGGGGCTCCACCTTGCCTGGAGCGTGTCGGTGGTCTCATTCTGCAGCAAGATGCTTTTCACAGGCAGGAGCTTCACTGGAAGGAGGACAAGGAACAAACTTTTCAGAGCATCTACTTGCCAGTGGAGGACTTTGCTGGCTGACCTCCCGGCATTGCTGTTCGTCCAGCCTGCTTGCTAACAGGAGAGGGACTTACAAGTGCTCCTGCCCTCTGTGACAGGCTGAAGGCATCTCATAAAAGCAGTGGTGAAAACAACCACATCTGTGACCACTGCTTTTCAGGACCAATGCCTCTAATGCACTCTCTCGCTTGCTTTATGTGGTTGCAAAACAGGAGGGCAAGCGAGGCTCTGGCAGGTCTCCCACCCTTCCTCCCAAGCAGTGTGATGATGTTCGAGGGTGTCCATGTCCATGCACGTGATCGGGGAAGAGCAGGGCTCAAGGCTGGAGTTAGGAAGGACCTGTTGAACCCTGCTCCTTTGATGCACATGCAGCTGCAGCACCCTCCAACTGTGAGGTGCTTGTCAACAGCAAAGGCTACGAACACAGCACCCAGGGCAAGAAGGGACAAGGCACAGAGTCAAACCTCTTACATGTTCTCCCCACAGCAGCCACAGGCTGGCTCGGCCCCTGGGGGTACACTGCGTAGATGCTGATGCTGTATTCTCTATCCTCCTGCAAGTTATCCAGCACGTGGGAAGAGACATCGCCCCGCAGAACTTGCTCGTACATCATTCCTGGTCTGTTGGCTGCAAAATCAAGAAGAGTGATGGTGAAGCCTTTCCACTGCCTGAGGTCTACATCCCATGGCGATGTCTTTACAACACAGTGAAAAACATGAGCATGAGCTGGTTCAAGTGCATAGTTGAAGTCTCCCAACCCATGTGATGTTGCTGAGGGTTACCTCTGTAGCTAAGGTTTGACATATCCATGCTGTCCCCACCCCTCCAGATCACACAGAGTTGAGTGTGAGCCATACTGAAGGCTTGAACTCACCCCACATCCACACCAAAGCAGGCACTTGAGTATGAAAAACATCCAGGGCAGGTCTGGATGTCACAGTGCAAATGGGTACAAGGCATCCACAGCGTCATCCCCATCCTGTCCTTCAAAAGCAAGTCCTTCAAAGGACTCTCCTCCTCCGTCCTGGAGGAACCACACTGACTGGAAGAGGCTAACGTGGCCTCCTTCCAGAGTAATGCCAGGAGCTCTCTGGGGCATTGTTCCTTGGACAAAATGGCACATTTTGTCCACAACAGGTGGCCAAGAAGGCCAATGGCATCCTGGCTTGTATCAGGAATAGTGTGGCCAGCAGGAGCAGGGAGGTGATCATGCCCCTGTATTCGGCACTGGTGAGGAGGCACCTCGAATCCTGTGTTCAGTTTTGGGCCCCTCACTACAGAAAACATGGGGATGTGCTGGAGCGTGCCCTGTGTTCGGCACTGGTGAGGCCGCACCTCGAGTACTGTGTTCAGCTTTGGGCCCCTCACTCCAAGGAGGATATCGAGGTGCTGGAGTGTGGCCAGAGAAGGGCAGCGAGGCTGGGGAAGGGGCTGGAGCCCAAGTCTTATGAGGAGCGGCTGAGGGAACTGGGGTTGTTTAGTCTGGAGAAGAGGGGGCTGAGGGGAGACCTTATTGCTCTCTGCAACTGCCTGAAAGGAGGTTGTAGCGAGGCGGGGGTCGGTCTCTTCTCCCTAGTGACATGATAGGACAAGGGGGAACAGCCTCAAGCTGCGCCAGGGGAAGTTTAGCTTGGATATTAAAAAAAAACTTCTTCACCAAAAGGGCTGTCAGGCCTTGGCCCAGGCTGCCCAGGGCAGTGGTTGAGTCCCCATCCCTGGAGGTATTAAAAAGACAGGTAGACGTGGTGCTTGAGGACATGGTTTAGTGGTGGGCTTGGCAGTGATAGGTAAACAGTTGGACTCAATGATCTTAAGGGTCTTTTCCAACCTTAACGATTCTATGATTCTATGATTTCTTGTCCTTGGGTCACTGCTCCTTTTAAAGCAAACTCCAAGAAAAATTCATAAAATCTGAACTCACCTCTTGGGATGTAGATCTTGTAGCCTTCCAGCTTGCCCAGTGGAGGTGTCCAAGCCACCTTCAAGGTAAAAAGTCCTTCTTCTGTCACACGGAAATTAGTGACTGAAGGCACAGGTGCTTTGGGGTACAAAAATATTGCAGAAATTGATGTGACAGTGCTGTAATAAAGTGCCACGGCAAGGGCCCTTGGAGAATCTTTTGCTTTCAAGGACAAAGAGACACAAAGGTGAGCAGCACCAATTCTCCCTATTCTCTCAGCTGAATCCTCAAAAGCGACCATCCCCCCGCTACCAAATCCTTGTCTGCTTGAAAAGTGAGCTGAAAACCCCCAAGGCAGAATGTTTGTGGGCTTCCTCTTTGAATGGTGTTGGGAACTGTGAAATATCTACCCACAAGGCATTTCCTCCTGAGCAGAGAAAACTCCGCCGTGGTTTCATGCAGACTGAGCAAGGACACATGAATCAAACACTCCTTGCGCCTATGGATGCAACTCTTACAAAGAGGAGCCCATTTTGATCCAGCCAGCCATGGCAGACAGATTTATAGCTTCTGCGTCTGGATTCATGTTTGGGGATAATAAGAGAAGAGATCAAATGACTTTATTTCCACCCATAAAGACATTCCATCTTTTTCCTGGCAAGTACATATGAGTTGAGCTGCTGCACCACTCATTGAGGTGCTTTATTTATTCATCCTGTTGGAGATCTTCCCTCAAGAAGACAAACAATTTAAGACATTGCGGGAGGTGGGGAAAGAAAAAAAAGACGAGGAAGAAAGGAATAATTCTTTTCAAAACCCCTTGGGCAAAGCAGACTTGGCGCTTCATCCAAAACAGGGAGGGAAGCGGAATTAGTGCACCCCTTAAACTCTTAAAACCCCTTAGTGCAGAGACTTCTGGGACAAAACCTGCTCCATCCACCACATCTGATCCAGTGTCTTGCGCTCCAGGGTTTGGCCAAGAATGAATTTGCTCCTTTGTTTCCAAGAACCTTGTCACTACAGCCAGCCATGTGACAGCAAAGGAATGTGGCACGGCAGATTGAAATCCAGAGGAAGCCTAGATCATTTCATGGGACCAGAGATCACTACTTGGGGCATTTCCTAAAGGCCGTGATCATACCACCTTGGTGTTCATCTTGAGTGAAATGAAGCCCTAAGCACATGCATAGTGCCAACCCAAACCTTTTGGACCACCCACTTCTGAAACAAGGTGTTTAGAATATACTTCTTTCCATAAAACTCATGTCTGTGTTTCTCAACCCATGGTCTCCAAAAGCTTTCTCACCCCACGTACATGGGGGTTACATTAACTGAATCCCAGCCTGGATTCGTTAAATCCTGCGGGTTATTAAATGAGGTGATGTGAGCCATCCAGCAGGCTGCACCCTCTGCTTTGAAGTGGGTTAACCACATGGGTTACTCTGCACCCACACAACCCTGCACCCCACACCATGGACATTTGCACAGATGTTCCTCCTACCCATTCCTATCCATCCATTCCTCAGTCCTCGCACATATGGTTTTGGGGTGCGTTTTTTCCTGTGCCCACACAGGCAAGGAATACACTGCAGAAGAGACACTCACTTGTTTTCCCTTTGACAGCTGCTGACTCCCCCAGGGCATCTGCATAGATGGCCCTCACCGTGAAGACATACTTGGTGTTGGGTTTCAGATCAGTCACCAGCACGGTACTTTTGTCACCATCCACCACAATCTGTCACACAGGGGGACAAAGGACATCATTACACCTCCATGACAGTAGAAGACCCCCATATTTGCAACAGGTTAGGAGCATGAGGCTTCACATCTGATGCAAGGTGACTGCCACGAGCAGAAGCCTCTTAAAATGCACTAACTCAGAACACTGAGATCCTCACGTGGTATCTGGGTTCACACTGGACACAGCACTGACACAGGACAGTGCCAAGGATGGGTTTCATGAGCTAGCCCAGAAAAAAACTCAGTGAAAACAAGAGCGTGCATAAGGGTGAGGGTGGTCCCCAATTCCCTTAAAAAGATGGAGGAAAAGCAATCATCTTTGGCAAAGAAAGTTTCTTTCAGTGCTCATAGAGGGATATTTCAACGTAACCTGAGGGCAAGAGAGGTGGAGACAACTTCTGTGTTTTCACTATGTTCTTATGAGATTCTGAAGCAGCCAAGGATGATCATTCTTGTTAAATACAATGTGAATAATTAATACAATTAATAATCTTAACCTTAATAATTTATGCTTTCATAGCTTTGTTCTATTATTAGAAATCAAAGCTTTTAGGCATACATCATCTACCCTTCAATCTCGCTGTCAAACTTTGTGCAGTGACCGAGCTAAACTAGAGCAAGCTGGCACACACGGCAGCATCCCTCACACAAGGACATGGTAAATCCAAAACCAAAACACGCAGAGATCTTACCAAGATGAACAATCTTGGCAGCAAGAGAAACAGGGGGTGTTGCTAGGGAAGCTGGATGGGCTTATTTGAGAGGTGGTATCACAGAGGTAAGGAGAGAAAGAGTGTTTCCCATTGACCTGTTCTTATCAATCTCAATGCAGTTTGTGCCACATCCTTCTCCCACCTGACCTTCCCCCCCATCACTCCCAGAAACTCCGTCTCACCACAACGGCAATGCCAAAATTAGCACGAGCAATCAACACACCTGCAAATCTGATGGCCTATCTATAGACCTTCACCTCAAGCAAGCAGCTTCAGGAATTTATGCCAATGCACTGGGCTGTGACCAGGATGGATGAGGGACATGGTGCCATCTCCTAACCAAGCTGTGCCATCAGCAGCCTCAGCAGAAGACTAACCCCTAACACCAGGACCTGAAACTGGTGCTCTGCAGAATGGGAATGCAACTCTACCTGCCGCTGGTCCTCTGAAACCAGCTGCCCCGAAGGCAGCATGGGATGCAGATGGACACGGTACCCCATCACCCTCCCAGTAGCTGGCATCCACGTGAGTCGCAGTGAGCTGTGGCTGTGCTCACTGATGTGCAAATCCCGGGGGCCAATGATCTTCTCAGCTGCAAAAAGAAAGGAAAGGCTTTTGGTTTGGACCATGATGGTACCAGTGCTGGACAAGTCCAAGCTGTTCATTGATGGAGTCAACATATTCAACACAGAGAAAGCCTTGGGTGTAGATGGCACTCACTTAGGTTGAGAGCACAGGGGCAGCTGGGATCTGTTTCTAGGCCAGAGCCAGACAAGGAGGTTTTCTTTTGGCAAATTGCTTGACAGCACAAGAAGGGAAAACAAAACTTGTTCTGGCTACATTTCCTACACCTGCTTAATGCATAGGGCGTCAGCTCCTTCCTGCCCTTCTCCTTACTGCCACCAGAGAGTATTTGGCCAGAAAGCTTGAACTCTACATGAAACATCATAGGAAGCCCTGAAGTGCTACAGAGAACCACAGAGAAAGCCAAAAAAAGACCCTCTAATGACTTGGATGAAGTTCCCCCAAGCTCTGCCCCAAGCTTTTAATTCATCTTCTCATGAGTTTGTGTGCCAAGAGGCGGGGCAGGAATTCATTGCCACCACCTCTGGATTTGCTGCAACATCAGCATCTGTTTGGGGAGAGATCTAGATGTCTTTGGAAATCTCTTTGGCTGCTCTCAGCATCTTCTGCAAGGAATCAAGTTCTTCCTGAGACCCTGAGATGTGCTGCCAGAGTTCACCATGAGAGGCCCATGTTGAAGGCTTCCACAAGGGGCAGAAATGCTGCCCCAGCCCATTGCTGCTCCTTTTGTTTGAACTAGCAGCAAGACTTTCAGGGTCTGGTATCACCAGACAAACCATGGAGATGCAGACACAAGCAAAATACACAGGACCACTGTCCCCAGGCAACAGATGCTTCATGAGCTGGCTGCTCCTCTAGGGTCATCCAACCCCTAAAGCTCCTTTGTGATGAGCACAGGGGATGTGGGAGGTCCATCTCGGTGGCGTGGCTGGCACGTCCAGGGACTGGGAAGGGGCTGGTTTGGGCAGGTGGAAAGCAGGATAAAGAGAGCTCTGACGCACCTTGCACAGTCTGTTTGATGGGTTGGGGCGGCTCTGAGGCAGTGAAACAGAGCCTACGAGAGAGTTTGGGGGCCAAGTTGTGGAGGAGGTGGAAATCTTCAATATAAAGCACATGCTCTGCAGTGGGCTCTGACGCTATTTTGTTCAGTTCGTTCCTGTCAGCATCCTTAATTCCTAGAAGAAAAAAAGAAGAGGAAAGGAGGACATCAAACATCATCCCTGGGGCAGGCCAGGCATTGGCAAGGGATGTCAAGAGCAAGCAGGAGCAATGTGCTGGCCTTTGATTTTTACACCAACTTTGCAGCCCTGCTGCCCACAGTGAATGATGAAACAAGGAACGGAAACACAAGCTGGATGGGCAGTGGTGAATCTGATGAAGCCATCAAGGAAAAGAGGTTAAGGTTTTCTCCAGGGGCATGTTAGAGATGGACCCAGGGGATTCGGCTGCTAATGGGCTGATAGGCAGAAAGCTCTCTTGGGGTGGAGAGTGAAAAGGAGCAGGGCAGGATCTGGCCTCATCCTTCCCATTGGATACAGAGACATTTCTGCCCTTCTGATGGAGGAGGAGATGATGAGACTTTGGGAAGCTGTATGAAAATTGCAGGGTTTTCCTGTGGTTGACTTAAAAAAGGCGGGGGGGGGGAGGAAACCCCAACAAACCAATTCTCCCTAATTTTCACCTCACATTTGTCCAAATCGACTTGGTTGCTCTCTATAATGAAACACCACCACCACCACCCCCCTTCTTCTCCCCTGAAATGTTTGGTGAAGGGAAGGATTTGACTTGTAATAAATGGCTGTATTTAGCTCTTGGGGGAAGGGAGGTGCTGAAACTTTTCCTTGCCCACGGAATTATTCTGATGGACATTTTTAACGTAGCTGAAGTTGGTCTCTGAACCCCATTAAGAGAAAGCTTCAAAAGTAAAAACATTTCATTTTTGAAAATGTCACATCAAAACATTTTGACTTTTATGGAACTATTTATTGAACTCCTGAATTCGCAAGTAGTTTTGACAGATGCAAAACCGCAGATTTCCACTGACTAAATCAGCTATCGACAACAACAAAAAACACCCAAGCACAGCACAGATGTGATTTTCCTGTACTTGCAGTAGTTGCTAGTGCCTGAGCCTGGGGATGGGTGCAGTTTTTAGAGGAGGAGGATGTTGTGCATCAGGAAACTTCCCCAGTGCGTAGACTGTGTGTCGGTGCACACACAGTATTTGGTGGCAATGCTCCATGTACCTTAGCGTGTCCATACGTACCTACAGCAAACACGGTCACCCCCCCATCCTGCAGGACCTGGGCTTCATCTTCAACAGAATCACCAGATTTCCCGTCTGTGATCAAAACAACTACCTACAAGAATTGGCATAAGAGCCAGAGAATGAAAGAGCACAACATGAGGAGGTCACAGAGACAGTCGCAGGATTTTCACACTGAGAAGCCAGACCTTGGGTGAAGTCCCTCTCTCTAAAGGGATGGGCACTTGAAAATAAATCCTTTGATAACCCACACCTCTGGGGTAACTCACATGAAATCAGTTTGCATGAGCATGAGCTGGGAAGAAGAGCATAAATGCTGCTGCTCATGACAGCATCTTCTCTGCATGTCTCCTCCTGCTTGGTTGTGTCTCACCTCTGCTTGGGGCAGTAACTCTGGCTCCAGAAGGAGATTAATGCCAGCACAGAGAGAGGATTCACCTCTACAAGTCCGTAAGAGCAGCTCTTAAAGGAGGACTCAGCTGCACTCTGGACACCACCCTTGGCCAATGGCACCTGGATGGTGCTATCAGGTAGTAAGAAACTCTCTCAGCCACAGCCTGGGTTTAAATGACAGCAAACTCAGCAACCCTAGACCTTTCAAGCTTTTTGGGCAGTCCTGTGTCAGATCACATAGCAGGAGATACGGCTGGCACGTGGGATGCTATACTGAAGACACACCCTCCTGCAACACAGGAGTGGTTGAGGTGGGTAACACAGCCCACCTGTGGCATCATGTTCTCCCTCCCATTCTCTGACTAAAAATAGGTCTCGTTGACCACACTGATCACACCACGCTGATGGCATGGATCACGCAGACCACATTTGGCATGCAGGATCTCAGAGCAAAGGAGAAGGTGCAGCACCAAGCTGCAAATGTGGGAGGCCCATGGGAGGCAAAAGCTGGCTGTGACAGTTTCAGACTCGATTCATGGGGTGTACCAGCTCCCCAATGTGGTTGCCCCTTTCTTGATTTCAAGACCATCCACCATGGGAGCAGAGCAGACTGAACTGTTTCATGCAGCCTGCAGAGCAAATCAGAATGCAGCACCTTCTCTTTAGCATCCTCAGCATCCTCAGAGCCCCTTAGAAATTATGAACAAAATAATTTTTAAAAAGATGATCTGAAGAAACCAATGACCCAAAACTGATGTCTGCAAGACACTGCAATGTGTCTGCTTTTTGAGCAAGATGCTAAATGTACTGCCAGTCTCTGTAACCAGAGTGGATGTGCACAGACTGTTAGCAACAGCTACCTGCACCAACACCACAACTTGTCTCCTTGTCTTAATCATGCCTTGAACCTGCTCAGTTAGCTTATGCAGTAAGTGCCCCGAATTTGGGTACTCATCTGGAGGCATTTAAGTCTAGAGCACTGGGTCCCTCTGCAATCCGTGAGGAAATATGAGCAATTTTTAAAAGTGAGTCGGTCCTTTGAAAATCTGGAGGTATCTGTCACCAATAAAGTGACCTGAAGATGAATGAGCTCCTAAATGAGGTACCTCAACTGCAAGCCAAAAATCAGATGGGATGAATAAAAACCAACCGTCTCATTCATGCCTTCAGGTAAAGAAGAGGTCTGATCCCTACCAAGGATGACACCAGAGGAGTCATCACAGAAGGTCGCTTACCTTTGCCGCATCCTCTCGCAGCATGTCCAAGCGAGACATAGCATGAGCTGCAAACGCCAGAGCTGATCCTGTTTTTAAGCTGCTGCCTTTGAGGGAGAGATCCTGAATTGCCGCCAGCATTTCTTCAATGGTCACGTAATCCGTGAGCTCAACACTCATCCTGGGAACGAGAAATGGGGGAATACGGGTGAATAAAGAGCAAGAAAACACTATTGTTACAGCAAGAATGCATTGCTGATAGTAATGACCAGCAATAATGTTGACATTTAGCTGGTCACACTAGGCTTGTATGTAAGCAAGGAGTCCTCTTCACAGTGGTCAAGGGAGTCCAGGGTTTGAGCCCCAGAGCCCTGTTATCATAAAATGCTGTCTAAAATTGGATGGCAGGGAATTTCTTGTGGCTGCATTAAATGTCAGCCTCCCTGCCCTGAAACGGTTCCCCATGACCGAGCACCTCTAGACTCTGATGACAATGTCGGGGGTTGAACTTTTGCTCTTGTAATGGTTCCGCAGAGCAGTAAGCGATCGTTACG